GCTGGGTGTCCTGGCGTGGCCGAGTGGCCGCGGGGTTTCATCCCCCGGACTCCCCCGGCCCCGCTGGACATTGATGGCCGCCTCGATGGCCTGGAAGATCTCGTTGCCTTGCCTGGTGTCGAATTCGAAGCTKCCCTCTCCGGACGCGCAGCGCCGGCCGGCCTCGAAGGAGAAGGTCACCTGCGGAGGGTCGGGGTGGGTCAGTGGCCATTCTGTGGCTACAGCTGGCCCAGCCCTGCYCACACTGACCTTGTCGCGGCCGAAGCGGCGCAGGAAGCGGTAGGGCCAGCTGAAGAGCAGCTCGTGGCTCTGGAAATGGAGCAGCTCCAGCGCCTCCTCGCCGGCCCGCAGGACACAGCGGCCGCGGAGACGACAGCGCTGCGACGACGGTGTCACCCTCACGGTCACCTCGAACGCCTGCTCCAGGGCGGCTGGGGACGGACAGGGGGGACACTGGACATGTGTCCCATACCAAAAGGGGCTGTGGGTGACCCCCCAAACCAGGCCAGTGTGCTCCAAGCCCGGCTGGGGATGGGCAGAGTGGACACTGGACACGTGTCCCATACCACAAGAGGGTATGGGTGACCCCCCAAACCAGGATATCCCAGTCCAGTCCAGCTGGGGATGGACAGGATGGACACTGGACACATGTCCCACACCGAAAGGGGCTGTGGGTGACCCCCCAAACCAGGACAGCTCACTCCAGTCCAGCTGGGATGGACACTGGACACTGGACACCCCTCAGAGGAGCTGTGGGTGACCCCCCAAACCAGGACACCCACTCCAGCCCGGCTGGGGATGGACACTGGACACTGGACACCTTACACAGGGATCGTGGATGACCCCCCAAACCAGGACACCCTGCTCCAGACTGGCTGGGGATGGACACATTGGACACTGGACATGTGTCCCACATCACAGAGGAGCTGTGGGTGACTCTCCAAACCAGGACAGTGTGCACCAGGGCGGCTGGGGATGGACAGAGTGGACACTGGACACATCCCACCCCACAGAGGACACCCCGAACCAGGACACCCCGCTCCAGCCCAGCTGGGGATGGACAGGGTGGACACTGGACATGAGTCCCACACCAAAAGGGGCTGTGGGTGACCCCCCAAACCAGGACAGCTCACTCCAGCCCAGCTGGGGATGGACATTGGACCCATACCCCACCCCACAGAGGACACCCCAAACCCGGACACCCTGCTCCAGCCCGGGGTGGACATTGGACCCATGCCCCACCCCACAGAGTGATCATGGGTGACCCCCAAACCAGGACAGCAGTGTCCGGCCGATAAGGACTGCACAGCTCTGACCACTGCTGATAAAGACCCGAGCCAGCCCCGCTGCCCGCAGCAGGAAGAGGCTTTTTCAGGAGATTTCCCCACCCCGCAGCAGCCCCAGCCCCGTTCCCCCATCCCCGCTCCTACCTCTGTCCCGGGAGCTGTACAGGGAATTTTCCTCCATGGAGAACTCTCCCTCAGAGCCCTCCTTGGCTGCTGCCGGCTCCTCCCGGCTCCTCTACCCAGAAAAAGCAGCCCWTGARGGGATCCCATCCATTTTCCCCTCACAGATCCCCCATTTCCCCRTTCCCCATTCCCATACCGGGAACGCCAGCTCGCACAGCCTCTGGATCCATTCGGCCACCTCGGCGCTGTCAGCGGCCAGCAGGAATCGCCTGTCCGTGGTCTCCAGCACGAAGGGGACGGTGTCCTTGGGACAGGCGGTGTCCCCACCCGYCTCGGCCACATGGACACAATCACTGAGCCGGACAAGTCGCCCTCGGCCACCATCGGTCCTGCGTGGCTTCTCAGCTCCTGAGGCTTCCAGCAGCTCCAGCCGGGCTGTGGAACAGGAGCTCTCCCGGTACAGGACACCCCAGAATTTCTTCCATTTCTGCAATTAATGGGGTTTTTTATCTTTTTGGAAGGGTTTTTGGCTTTCCCGGGGTTTTTATCCACTCAGGATGGCGCAGGAACGCCGGGCAGGCTGCGGGTGCAGAGCACTGAAGGGTTTTGTGCCTCCCGGAGTTTGGGATGGGATAAATGGGGATTTAAATGTTTAAATATCCCTGGATGAACATTCCTGGCTTTTCCAGTGCCAGCAGCACCCAGCCTCGCCCAGCACCCACTCCCATCCCGTTCCCCCATTTGCTGCCCCCACAGCCCCTCACTGC